CCATCGGCTTTTCGTCATTCAGCAATGATGATGGTGCCAAGCTGGAGCGTGCCTTGTTAGAACAATAACAATAACACCTTGCTGGAAGAGAAATTCGAAAGAGGAGAAGCGAGATATACCGAAAAAGAACGCAGTGAATAACAACTAGCCAGCAATAAGATTAGCATGTAGAACTTACATGCTGTTAATGACAGCCGTCGCAGCCGAGACAGCGATATCTTGCAGGTGACCCCGGACGGCAAAGCTCCAGTTATTCCGTGCGAAGTACTCCCTGTTCGTTTCAGTAACTGGCAGAGCAGGAAGCGTGAGTGAGAATGAGGGACTGGCGTGGAAGAAGTTGTGGTGGAACGAGAGCTGGCATGGTTGGTTGTGCTGGGGGAAGACTCCATTCTTATTCCTTAGGACGAGAGCGTCTTCGGACGAGAAAAATGAAGCGGGAAGCTCTATTCATCATTCGCCGGAACTCTGCTCGTTTCTTGCAAAAACTAAAAAAAAGCAAAGAAGGAAAAGAAAAGAAATAATGGAGATAAGCCCGAAGCGCTTGGGGTCAGTCGGATGGTAGATATGGAGGTCGTAAGCTGCCTAAAAGGATGCCCCGGAAAGGCCCTGGACACGAAGTAATCGATAACTACCAAGCGCAAGCGGAGGAGTCTCAGAAGTTAGTTTTGTCTCACCACAGTGTCTAGGAGTTGTTGAGAAATTGCCCGTGGTTCAACCCAACATATGTTGGCTGGCAAAGCTCATGTGTGAGAGAGGCACCATCTGTAGAGAGGCACCATCTGTAGAGAGGCACCATCTGTTTTAAAATATGAAGGCTGGCATTGCTTTATGATTCAATAATGACTCAAAAGAGAGTGAGATTCACGTTTCTCGCCGTCTTGGCCTGCCCTTGGCTCTTCTCAACAAAAAATAAAAATAAAAAATAAAAAACGGCGTATCTTAGTGCAACTCATCGTGAACAACATGGACGCACGCACCAAGAAAGTCGCTGCCATTGTGGAATAAGGTCTCGGACCTTATTCCCCGTTCCCACAAAAAAATACCTTCGACCAATTGCTTTTCTCAAGGTGCAAAAGTCCAGAAACGCTCTGAATGAACCTTTGATATGGGCTTGTCCCGGAGTCCGCAGATCTGTGATGATATCAGAGGGATCCTGCCAAGACAAACTATCAGATGAGCAGATCGTCGCTGGTGCATGTTGTTGTCCAGAGTGTGGAAAATAGTGAGAAATGGTATTCTTCTATTTTTGTGGGTGTTTCCATACAAATTAAAATCACATAGAGGGTAAAGGAAGGATACGCCGCATCAGTAAGCAAGTGAGCTTAACTCAAGCACCGTTACTCTAAGAACTCGAAACGCAATCCTGTTCTCATAGACAACCTCTCATTATTAGCTTGAGCGATAGAAGTACCAACTAATTTCCACATTCGGTTGATCATTCCAACGGCCCAGTCCAGCCGAAAAACATATCAATTCGATCTCGCAAGGACGTTTTTGTCAGGATCGCAATGTCTGTACCGGTAGTGGTGCCCTCTGAGGTTGTGCAACTATTAGTATCACTTTTCAACTTCGTTTGGCGTTGATTCGAGGTTGAGAGGTGTATATGGGCCTGTCCGGCTTCACTGCCGGCACCAATCCCAGTTGGAGAAGCGGCATCAAATTCTCTATGGGTCGAGATTTGAGCTGCTGCGATTTTCAAGGCTCCCTCCTCCCCTGCATTTGTCTCCGCGCTCCTAACGTTCTCGCTGTCAATAAAAGTAACCTCACCTCGACCATTAACCACTTTGGAAATATGCCCCAACAGACCTCTTTCAGCAACAGAAACTTTCTCCTGAACAAACCAGCTGAAGCTACTCAGGCAGGGCTCAATTTGAAAATAACTTCGTGGGCAGGAGAGTCCAATACACTCTTGTTGATTCTCTTGGCACTCAATAGTACTTGAGCAGCTGAGATGTTGATTGATGAGGACCAGTGTCTGCACCACGATAACGGGCAAGAGAATTATTTTCTTCGGCCCAAGTGGAACATACTCTAGATAGGTTTGAACAAAACCACCCAACCCCTCCATAATGGCCATGAAGAGAAGGACGACCCTAACCAACTGGTGCACACACCAGTAGGTTATGCTTTCCGTCTCAATTGCTGGTAGTCCCAAATAACCTAAATCTTCAAAACCATGTTGGCCCCATTCCCTCACAGATTTCTCCGTCTCAACAAGGCCGCTTTCCCCAGACTCCGGGTCGGCCCTAATCATTGGAGTTCCTGGCGTCTCCGTTCGCCACTGGCTGCGGAGCGACGGCACATACTCCGCTTGGGTTGCGGGCTTTTCGCAAAAGAGTTTCGGAACCCAAGTTTGTGAAGCTTGTGTTTCATAGGGAACTTCCCAGGTTATACGAAAGCATCCATCAAGTTTATTTCCCTTACAGAAAATCCTAATCTTCGTTGTCCCAAGATCACTGGCATTTGCCACCCTTTGATCCACATGGAAATCCCTATTCCCATTCTCCATTGTCCATTCAAAATCCCCGACAGGACCGTCACTGATAATAACTGCAATAGAACCCTCATCGGCACAGAGAATCTTCTGATAAAAAGACAGTGCACAAATAGCAGTGTACTCCACAATTTTTTGGTGACACCTCAAAACCGCTCTGATTTCATGGTTCAAGATACGTTTATCGCGCGACTCACTTGATAGTAATTCTACCGCTCGCATTGATACAACCAACGGCTCGGCGATATCGAAATCCGCAATAAAACCGGCGCCGTCGCGTTCCAAACTCAGAAAACCCTCATTTCCACAGTCCAACTTTTTTCTAGTTGAACTATTGGGGATAGTTAATTTAACAGTTCCTTTGCCTCCTTGTTTATAAACTGGTAAACCGGGTATTTTCAGAAGTTGCCAGCCGCCTGGCTGCAAGGTGCTTAATCGTACTTTAAAATCGAATTCAATAATATACACCTTTGGCATAGATGTTTCTGGAGATAAAATATAGAAGCCTTTGCCAACTTCTTCCACTATGGCAAGTTCCGGTACTGGAATAGCGGATGCCGTGTCCAGATTCGTTCCTGAATCGCGTTTCCTGGCCAATTCTTCTGCCGAATTCCATGGCATTCCCTGTTGAGATGATGGGGAAGGACTTGGTAGAATGACTGGCTTATGGGTCTCGCTTTGTCGTGGTCTATCGGTGTTGTGAGTATGGCTCTCAACCTTTGTGGGACTGTTCTCATTGTGGTTTTCTGAAGGCTCTGTTGAGTATCCAGTAGGGCACAATAATCGGGATTGGTGGTACTCCTTCGCGAGTCCATTGCACTCATCTTTCCCGAGCCAGGTTGAAACGTACATCGACTTATCGCTGTACTTTTCGCTGTATTTTAGGTTAGGCTCGCCTTCTTGAGAGAAAATTGCAGCGTCGCTTTGCAAAGAATACTGGATATGGCATCTGGAACCTCCCAGCTCAGACTTCGGAGAAGTATGGCGGTCAAAAAGAGGATGCCCCCCTACTCCATGTGAAAAGTTTCTAGTAGGGGATTGCGGCGACCTCTGATCCACCCGACGTTTAGTCAAATCAGCGGACAGCGTATGCGATAACTTCACTGGCGAAAACTGCTCGTTCCTAGGAGTAGACGGTTTCATGGGTGGCATTTCATTTCCTTGGGTAGGAATTATCTCAGATGGAGGACTCTCTGTCTTGGATGAGGAAACGGAGGTATTCCTCAAATTAGCTTCGGACCCCGACGAATGCGAAAACTCTTCATATGCGCCAGAAGGCCTTGCCAACTGCTGCGATTTAACAGGTATCCTGCTCACTACCCTTTTTTCAGACTTTGGGGTTATGGCAGCGGAAGACAACGATGACATTTCTCGGTTATATGTATCACTCAGACGGAGGTTTTGAGCCGCAGAATTAGTGCCACTACTTTCTGAAATGCACGCTGTTGAAACATCAGTACTCTTGCTACCTTCGCCATCGAGGCCGTCATCTTCATCAACGCCGATAGACAAAAGTCCAATTTCGAGCCCTGGAGCCAGGTCATCAAACGAAGGCATTTGACTGACGGTGCTTGTTGGGCTAGGGGGAAAGAGCCTTCTTTTTGTAGAAGAGGGGGATAGCTCCATTCCCTTCCGGTATAAGGACCGTGGCGTGTCAGATAATGACTCAGCTCCCCCGTTTGCAATCCTTTTTAAGATGTCGGGATGCTGCCTACCGCTTCCTCCGCCCCTAGTTGATCCATTGGATTTTTCATCGGTGATCTCCGCAAGGTGATAGGGGCAATCCTCCGGCATCTCGGTCGGGCCATCATAATGTAACAACTCAACACCATTGCTCAAGTCAAGCAGAGGTAATCTTGTATTTGGCGCAGAGATGAACTTGTTTCCATTTATCAGATTGAATTCAAGTGTTCGTCAGTTGCTATAATTTCTTGGATGGCCAAGGAGCAATGGGCTAAGGCAATAGAAAGGAGTTATCCTGGATAGCTTACCTCGATCTTCGCGTGTAGAGCAATTTCGCTTCCTGGGTTACCATCCCACTCACCGCTCAAATCAATACGATTGATTGGTGGTTGAGAGAGAGTCTCTAACGCCATCATGTCGATATCATAGATGTCTACCACACTCGGTCCTGCACGTCGTTTTGCACCAACTGAAGCGTCGCTGATTCTCACTCCA